TCATCTCACATGCTAACAAAATAATGTTCAAAATTTTCGAAGACAGGCTTCAACAGTATGTGAGCTATGAACATCCAGATGTTCAAACTGGCTTTAGAAAAGGCAGAAGAACCAGAGGTCAAATTGCCAACATCCAATTGGATCTTTGAAAAAGCAAAAGAGTTCCAGAAATGCATCAATTTCTGCTTTATTGACTATGCCAAAGCTTTTAACTGTGTGGATCACAACTGAAAATTCTTGAAGTGAGCACAATACCAGACCACCTTACCTGCCTCCTGAGAAATTTTTATGTAGGTCAAGAAGCAACTGTTAGAACTGGACATGGAACAACTGACTGGTTCCAAATTAGGAGAGGATACATCAAGGCTGCATATTGTCACCCAGCTTATTTAACTTATATACAGTGTATATCAAGTGAAATGCCTGACTGGATGAAGCACAAGCTGGAATCAAGATTGCTGGGAGAAATATCAATAACCTCAGATAGGCAGATGACACCACCCTTATGGCAGAAAGTGAAGAGGAACTAAAGAGCCTCTTGTTGAAAGTGAAAGATAGTGAAAAAGTTGGCTTAAAAGGCAACATTCACAAAACTAATATCATGGCATCCAGTCCCATCACTTCATGGCAAGTATATGGGGAAACAATGGAAACAGTGACAGACTTTATTTTGGGGGGCTCCAAAATCACTGCAGATGGTAATTGCAGCCATGAAATTAAAAGATGCTTACTCCTTGGAAGAAAAGCTATGACCAACATAGACAGCTTATTAAAAAGCAGAGACATTACTTTGCCAACAAAGGTCCATCTAGTCAAGGCTATGGTTTTTCCAGTAGTCATGTATGGATGTGATAGTTGGACTATAAAGAAAGCTGAGCGCCGAAGAATTGATGCTTTTGAGCTGTGATGCTGGAGAAGACTCTTGAGAGTCCCTTGGACGGCAAGGAGATCCAACCAGTCCATCCTAAAGGAGATCAGTTCTGAACATTCATTGGAAGGACTGATGCTAAAGCTGAAACACCAATACTTTGGCCACCTGATGAGAAGAACAGATTCATTGATAAAGACCCTGATGCTGGGGAAGATTGAAGGCAGGAGAAAAAGGGGATGACAGATGATGAGATGGTTGGATGGCATCATTGACCCAATGGACATAGTTTGAGCAAGCTCTGAGAATTGGTGATGGACAGGGATGCCTAGCATCCTGCAGTCCATGGGGTTGCAAATAGTCGGACACAACTGAGTGACTGAACTGAACTGAGCTGTAAACTTTATCTTTTCACAAACAGTGCTAGCTGTACTCTTCATTCAAACCAAAACTATATCAGAGAGTAATCATCCTGTGTACTTACCTTCTTCCTAGTGCTGAATGAATTCTAGATATGTCTGCTTTTATCCTGTCTCTATTGTCTTCAAGTAGTTTCTCTTTGTGTTTCTTCCAGAGTTTGTAATTGTTATCTTCAAGAGGTTTAACAGACCGAGTTCTGAACTCCTTTAGATGAGAAAAAAAATTTCTAATTGCCTTTACTTTTTTGAAAGTTACAACCCAAACATTTTAATAAAATATTTTATGCCATTTAAAAACTTTTGTCTAATTAGTTGAAATTATCTAATTTCAACTGAATCATTCAGTTGAAAATTGATGCAAGTAATATAAAATTATATTAAATGTCTTAAGGAAAAAAATGTAGTTTGAGACATTATGTGCCTACAAATTATTGTAAAGTTTTAAATAACTAAGAGTCTGTCACTGGAATTAGTGATTGAAGAACACTTGACAATTAGCTGAAATCTACAGGTCAAGAAAATGTTGCTGCTTGTTGTAACCACTTTACAGTCTTCTCAAACCACTCACAAAAATAGGGAACAGAAACTTAGTCTAACTCTTGCAGGAAACTCTCAGTACTCAGGTTCTTAATAGTTTGCTTCTCTATATAATCAAGATGAAAGAAAGATGACCTCAACTTTGTCTTCCACATTACTATCATGGGGAAAACCAAGAAAAGAATGAAACTGAAATAAAGGTCAAAGGAGAGCTAAGAAAAGAGATAAATTGAGCCTATGGTGATGTCATAGTCTATGATTCACAATTTGCCTGCAACTCATCATTTGATATTCAGATGTTTCTTCAGATAGTGGAGTGATGAATTGAATTTCTTTTATCTACTGAATCTTATATAATTGGATTTTTTTTTCACTTTTTGTAATACAATAGGCAAAAATTATTCTGGAACCACTTCAAGTGTACTAGTTAATGGACAAACCCTATTTCCTCCATTTCATACCATATATTGGGTGAAAAGTTCTGTGAAATCAATCACACATTGCTCCAATTTTTATCTAGAAAGCACCTTGATTAAATTAGATATTTAGCTGTATGAGACTGAGAATCTTTTGAATAGCACAGAGTTTTAAGACTTTCATCTTTATTTTTCCCCTCAGCTATTTGGATGGTTGTGGTGGTTTAGTCACTAAATTGTGTCCAACTCTTGCGACCCCAGGGACTGTGGCCTGCCAGGTTCCTCTGTCCATGGAATTCTCTAGGCAAGAATACTGGAGTGGGTTACCATTTCCTTCTCCAGGGGATCTTCCCAACCTAGGAATCGAACCAGGGTCTCCTGTATTGCAAGTAGATTCTTTATGTACTGAGCTATGAGGGAAGACTTTTGGATAAAGGGAAGCTATTTCGATAAAGCCAGCTTATTGCAAAAGAAACCTAGCAAGACTGTGAAGCTGAGTTAAGTGAAAGACAGAAAGATAAAAACTATTCATTTATTCAACATATATATATTGAATGCTTACTATGAATCAGGCAATGTCCTAGAGATGGGCTAAAAATTTAGCAAAACAGGAAAAAAATTCCCATGGAGGTTGAGATAGAGATGTAAATGAAAAGTATATATATATAAACTTAACTACACATAAAAATTTGTGTTAAAGAGAAAAAGCAAATTATAGATGAGGATGTTTTCCAGAGGTTGACCTCTGAGTCAAGACTCAGCATACTGTTGTAATGCAAGTCTATGAATCGAGCCATATCTGATCAGAAATGTCTTGAACTTCCTAGTGATTTACTTATTTGATGTGGACCATTTTCAAAGTCTTTATTTTGGCCATGAAGCATGTGGGACCTTAGCCCCCTGACCAGGGACCATATTCTCAGTCTCTGCATTGGAAGATGAAATCTTAACTACTGGACCACCCAATGATTTAAGCCAATAGATTCCCTTTCCTTATGCTGGGTTATATTGTGCTTCATTTACATGAAAATCAAAGCTACTGACTTACAAGTCACAGTCTTTTTATAATTTTTAAGATTTCTTCTTTACATTTTCACCTCCATATCTATCTTTCCTTTATGTGCAGAGCATGTTTTGTGTATTGACCTTCCCTTGTGGTTCAGACATAACAAATCTGCCTGTAACACAGGAGACCCAGGTTCAAGCCCTCAGTAGGGAAGATCCCCTGAAGAAGGCAATGGGTACCTACTCCAGTATTCTTGTGTAGATAATTCCATGGACAGGGTCTGGTGGGTTATAGTCATGGGGTCGCAAAGAGTCAGACAACTGAGGGACTAACACTTTTGTTTTCACTGGGTTCTCTGGAGAAACACAACCAATAAACTATATTCACATATGTTCTAGTCACAGAAATTGGTTCATATAATTATAGAGATTATCCTAAGTCCACAACTGTGTCAAGAAGTGATTCTAGAAATGTGACTAACTGCAGTATTTTTCAGATTTATTGCTGCCCTGATACCTTCGAGGTCTTTGAACAAATTTTTTCAAAGGTTTATGCTGAGGACTTGGCCTGCACCCCATGGGGAATTGTTTGCTTGGAAAGATACACTGAGCAGAGAAGATGGCCAAGAAACCCAGGAATTCTGCAACTATTAGGAGGAACTGTTGTGTACATTTGAGAACTGTTGGAAGCAGCAGTAGCCATTGTTATAGCTCTGTTGGTAGCCTCTGAAAATGATATAGCTGGAAATAAAGACTCTGAGTCAGTAATCATCTCACTTGGGAGTTTCTGCTGATTTGAGGACAGCTGCTAGGGAGTTCTATCAGCTACGTCTCAGTCAAGAACTATGGACAAAACTACAATAGAGTAAAGTGGGAGAAGACTTCAATGCTAAGTGCCTGAAATCTTTTCTGACCTCGAATTGTGAGTCACTCATGAGAGAGAGGGAGTGAACTTTTCTTCATTGTCTCACAGAAGAGAAAGAATAAACATTTCTAAAAAATTGTGTTGGCTGAGTCTAGCAACAGAAAGCTTGACTAACTTCATTTCAAATACAGGATATGAAAACTGTGGCATACGTGTGTACAGCAGGCAATGACCTGCTTTTTTGGTGTTTTTTTTTTTTTTTCTCTCACCTACCTTGGGTCTATTCAATAGAGAATTGTGAGAAAGAATGAGGATAATTAGGAGACTGGTCAAGCCCTCTAGGATGCTACCCAAGATTTTTTCACCCTATTCCCTATCCTTGAGGCAGGCACTTGATCCTTTCATCTCCATCAAGCTTGGAAGAAGTGACGTATTGTCTCTATGGCCCGCATCTAAACACTCCATGGTTATCCTTCAGTCCTCAGACCAGCTCTTTGCCATTGTTCTTCAGAGTCTCAGTTTTACTAGCTAAGATATCACCCTTTCTCACCCCTCACACTATGTGTTCCTATGCCCCTCTCCTTGGTGCAGAAACTGAATTTGTAGAGTTTAGATGAAACTAAACTAAAAAGGATAACTTTGCTTCTTTATTTGCCATGATAAAGCAGGCTTTATTTGTTTGGTGAAGTTCAAGGATGAAAAGGGTTTTCTTCCTTACTTAATGACTTCAGAAAATTCAGTCCTGTGTTACCTATTGTAGTATGGGTTTCCCATATTTATTTCTCTTTTCTTAATTCGCAACAATTTTCAGCTTCTAATGAACTATCAAGTAACCTGGGACTAATCGCCAGCTAATTGCCAGTATTAATCTTCTCCTGTTTCCTTTTTAGTGTGTTGGACCTGTGAGATTTAGTATCCAGGTTGTTTCCTACATCCTATTTACTCATTGAATGGATTGGAACTGTGCCAAAATTAATGTTGCAATAATGGATCCCTGGAGTTTTGGAAAGTATAAACATAAACCAGCATGTTGGGGCCACAGCTAATAGGAAACAAAAGAAAATGTCTTCAATGATGCTTTAGGGGATACTTCTCATAATTCTCAGCAGAGAAGGTAGGAACACAGTTTGGAGGTATTGAGATGTCAGTAGTAGAAAAAGAATAGAGTAATTTAAAAATAGAAATGATTATAGTAATATTAGTTTTTGAGTCTTATTTTTATTAGATTTTTAGGTTTCACTGACTTCTAATAGCTTTGTGCTATGGAACATAGAGAAATAGGCCCTGTTGGGTTATTTTATGTAGAAAATTGAGTCAAATTAGTGCTTGAGTATAGTGATAGAGAGGTCTCCAATGATAATTTTTTTTTTAATTTTTATTAGTTGGAGGCTAATTACTTTACATCATTACAGTAGTTTTTGTTATACATTGATATGAATTAGCCATGGATTTACATGTACTCCCCATCCCAGTCCCCCCTCCCACCTCCCTCTCCACCCGATCCCTCTGGGTCTCCAATGATAATTTTAGAAATGTCCTAATCATCCTGTGAGTTTTAGTCTATCTATGAGTGATGGTTAAAAAGAGCATGTAGGGAAAGCAAGGCACAAATGCACAAGGTAGACTTAAAAGTTGGAGAATAATATAGGACCATGGGGTAATAAATAGAGCATCACCAATGAATTGTAGTAGGCACAGGAATGCTTATAAATAAGCGCCATAAAATATGCTTCCCTTGTCCATGGAACTTACTTCCTTTCTATCAGCCATCTCTGAAAGGCTGATTTCTTTTGAAAGTCTTTTCTGGGTAATCGGAAAAGAAAGGACATAAACTGCTAATTCCTTATCAAAAATGAATTTTCAACATTTAGTTCATTCACATGAAACTGTTCTCTGGTGACAATGGTATATTAAAAACGTCTAACAGGCAATGAAGGAGTAAAGGAAATATAACTGACTTATTTTTCCTTACAGACTTTCTACTGTCTTTAGCACTCCACACTCCTAACATTCTGTGGACAAATAATCTAAAGCATCAGACTCATAAATGGGAACTGAGGAGGTAAAATAAATTACATTGTTCAAGAATATCCTGGTGGTTTGTTTTGTTAGATGTCTAATGATGCGTGAAAGTGTTTTGAAGAACCAGAGTTTTAGTAATAGTAGTAATAGTAAAAATAAAAGCAATGGTAGGATATCATGAGGACTTGGGTCTGGTTAATGTTCTATAACTTCTTGGTTGTGTGACACATTAACACAATTATAACTTTGCAATGTGATCTGATAGATTGTGAGCTGAATCTCTGTTCCCAGATTCTCCAAATAAGGCTTAAAATTTCATCATCTCTTTTATGACTTTACATTATGCCTTTCACAGATGCCATCTTTAAAAAAATCAAATATTTAGTCATCAATTCATTAAATAAATAGTTCTTAAGTAGCAATTTGTATTTATGTTATGGGAAATATAAAACTGCTCCCAAGGTATTTATACTCTGATATATGAGAAAGTAGAGGCTGGTACTTTCATGATACATTTCATGCACAATAGAAAGTCATTAAATTAAGAGAAGACAAAGTACATGTCCCACTTATCATTGGAGACCAGAGTAGTCAGAGGTCATAGCTTCTGTTTGAGCTTCAATAATGAATAGAAAGTGCATAAGGTTTTCCAGATGACGGGGAAAGTATGAGTAAAAGCACAGAGGTGAGATACTACAAGATGAGAAGACATAGTTTTGCTGTTTGTTGAAGAAGGAAAAGTGATTTACAATTATTTCAGTTAAGAACAGTACTCTACCTAAGATAGATACAATTTAAAAATAGATATGTAGTAACTAGATATATTACTTTAATTTATCAATAAATTAGCACATTAATGAATGGATAAACTGATAAAAGTGATGACTTATCTACTAAGTGTGCATGCTCTGTTGATAAGTCATGTCCGACTCTTTGTGACCCCGTGAACTCTAGCCCGCCAAGATCCTCTGTCCGTGGGATTTCCCAGGCAAGAATACTGAAGTGAGTTGCCATTTCCTTCTCCAGGGGATCTTCCTGACCCAGGGATCAAACCTGTATCTCCTTCATGACAGGTGTATTCTTTACCACTGAGCCACCAGTGAAGCCCTGTCTACTTAGAGAACATATCAAGTCTACCTATTAGCCTACTGGTCACTATGCTACACTCAGGTAGAAAAATGAAACTGATACTTTTCCTTCTCTTGAAGTGAGAGAATGTGAAGCGAAAACATTCAAAGATGGTATAGATTAAGAAATATACCTTGAAAATGTAGGATCGGACAGCTGGTCTCTTCAACTGAGCTACTTTAGGTAGAAGTTTTTCTTTTCGTATTCTTCTTTGGTGCCTTATATTTTCAACTATTTGGTTGCTTTGATCTTTTTATCACTTTAAAAATTCAAACTTGATTTTAGTTGAATTGCAAAAAGGATTTGCTCATCCTTTAGTAAGGAGAAATTGGAGGAGCTGAAACTCCTTGAGGCCAGGTGCACCCAATGCAATGTTGAGTTCTGTTGGAAATCCAGATAAAATGTGAACAGACACAATGGTTCATATTGAAGTAAGGTCTGATGTGTTTGATTTATTTTCTCTTTAAGTTTGAAACTACAATTAGAGCAGAATCAGAGAATTATCTTGGCATAACGGTAGATATTTAGTAATAACAATGGCCAACCTGATTGTAATAACTTTGTGCTTCTCTAGAGTCACTTAAATATACTAAAATCCACTCAACTCTCTTCTATTAAGTGCATGAAATTGATTGATTAAGGGCAAAGGATGTACTAAAGTCAACACAATATTATTGTCTCCATAAATGCATGCAAATAGGAATTGGGTATGCATGTTGGTCTGGTAGATTTTTTTTAATAAAATAATAGGATTAAAAACTAAAACCTGAAGTAGATATATGTTTAAAGTATTTCTAAAAGGAAGCTTAAGAAAAACTAACACTACTTCCTGAAAATTAAATACCTTATGTAGCAGAAGCTGACATTTAATAGAAGTTTACAGTGTGCATGTGCATTTCTCAGTGCTTTAATTTTCATAAGAAAACTAGGAAAGAGGTGTTATTAGTAATTTATGTTACACATGAAAAAGCTGAAGCACAAAAAATTACACAGATAATAAATGATAGAGTTAGGCTAATATGCAGGAAGTTTCAGACATTTCCATTCCCTAATTGCTATTTGAAGTAGAGAGTGTGAAAATAATTTCCTAGACTTAAACACTGGAAACATGTACTCTTGAGTTCTGGAAACAATTCCATGAATTGACATGGTCCATCGGGCATTTCCTACTAGCATTGGTCCTTATCCATTCTCCTATTTCTTGTTCCTCAATCCATAGTGGAACTAACTATCTCCCCCTTTCATGGCAAACACTGTTTCTTCATTTTTGTCCTCTGTAGATCAATCTTGGGGAACAAATGAATCAAGCTAATTATTCCTCTGTCGCAGAGTTCCTATTGATGGGATTCTCCAACCTTGGAGAAATCCAGTTCATCCTCTTCGCTGTTTTTCTGTGCCTGTATCTGATTATCCTGAGTGGAAACATCACCATTGTCACTGTCATCTGCCTGGATCGCAGCCTCCACATCCCTATGTATTTCTTCCTAGGGATCCTTTCCATCTCTGAGACATGCTATACCTTTGTCATTCTGCCCAAGATGCTCATAAATCTGTTGTCTCTGCTCAGAACAATCTCATTTGTTAACTGTGCCACTCAGATGTTTTTCTTCCTTGGTTTTGCTGTCACTAATTGCATGCTACTGGGAATCATGGGTTATGACCGCTTTGTTGCCATCTGTCATCCACTTCGGTACTTTGTCCTTATGAGCTGGCAAGTCTGTGGACAATTGGCAGCCACTTGTGCTGTAATTGGTTTTTTGTTTTCATTGATAGGCTCCCTCTTAGTTTTTGAACTACCTTTCTGTGGCCCCAACAAGATTAACCATTACTTCTGTGACATTTCACCAGTTATCCGCCTTGCCTGTACTGATTCCTATATCAATGAACTCATCATCTTCATTGGTGGAGTTTTAGCACTCATGGCCCCTATGACTTTTATCTGCATCTCTTATGGCTTCATTGTTCACACCATCCTGAGGATCCCATCAGCTGACGGCAAGCGAAAAGCCTTCTCAACGTGTGCCTCCCATCTTACTGTAGTCATTGTCCACTATGGCTGTGCCTCCTTTGTCTATCTGCGGCTGTCATCCAAGTACCCATCCAGCAAAGATAGATTTGTAACAGTGACCTACACAGTTGTGACTCCATTGTTGAACCCCTTGGTGTATAGCCTAAGGAACAAAGATGTCCAGATGGCCATTTGAAAAGTGATTGGCAGAAGAGGATTTTATTCTAAAGCTCTGTAATAAGAGTACTTCATATCTACAAAATACTCTTTTCTGAGGATATACCAATAACTGTAAAAGTGATGATAGTGTTGTCTTTCATTCACATAGCACTTTATAACCTCATAGTGAAAGCTTCTTCATGGTATTAATTTGATAGGTTTGGTGAAATGCAGTCTTAAACTTGGGGTAATTATTAATACTATACACATTTGAAATGCTCTTAAACTTGAACAGGGAAGTATACTTTAAATTAATGTTATTGGAATTTAGTTGTTTCCCAATGTTGTGGTAGTTTCTACTGTACTGAAAACTGAATAAGCTGTATATATACTTAGGTAACAATGATTTTAGTCTCTTCTAGGAAGGATAAATAACATACTGTGGATGGTAATTCAATATAGAAGGTCCAGTCATTACAAATTTTCAAGTTTAGAAAAGCCTCAACAGGACTCTTCACAAAAAAATCGTTAAGAAAATGGGATAAATCTAGTTGAAATTTAATATAACCATGAGTTATCAATGTTGAAAAGGACCCAAGTCTATCACTTCCAACTGCTCTGTTATTGCAGGTATCTTACCTGCAGTATTTCTGCCTCTAGTTTAACCACTGTTAAATATCACTGTTATAAAACTCCACTTTTATATGCTGCCCTCCTTTTCATTACACATATTATTTCTGGAGATGAATATCTTGTATATAATTTTTCACTTCCACAGCAGTGATTTAAATATTTGAAGATGAATGATGTATGCTTTCCCTAAGACACCTTTAACCTAGCTGATGACTCCTTTGACAAATCCTGGTTATTTTTCTCTGGATTATTCCCAAGGTACTTTTCATTTCATTAATAGCATTCTTTGATAGAGTCACCAGGAAATGGGTATAATAATCCAGGTGACTTTGGATAATCCTCTCCCTTGTCCTTAAAGTCAATTTTATATTAATACAGCCAAAGTTTCTTCCTTATAGCTTTCCTATAAGTTCTATTACATGTGTATCCTTTTCTGACCCCTGTGTCTTTCAGACTAAAGGATTATATATTATATATCCACAGTCCTTTCATTTTGAAGCATATTTTGATCAGTTTTGCTTAGCTGGATATTTCTTTTTCAATTATCACCAATCTCCTGTTCTCTGCAGAAGGTATTGTGCATATTCTCACTTCCACTTAAAACAATTAACTATTCTCCCCTCCCATGGCCCTCTTTGTCACTCCTTCCAAACACAGTGTTACCTGATATCATTGCATCATACTTTAGAGGAAATGTAAGGTATCAACGAAAACACCCTCTTTTTCTTGTCACTGCATTTGTAAATATACTTGTACCACAATTATTCTAATATTTTTCTTCATTCCTATTGCAGTAGAAACAGTTCTTTTTAGCTTTCTCAAATGCCTCTTCCTTTTCAAATTATCTGAATTTTGTCTATTTCTTATCTATCAGTGTCCCCTGAGTTCCTCTCCATGCAATTAAGTTTCCATTTTTTTATCTTAGAAAACAAGGATTGATAATTTGAAATTATGCAAATACATTTAAAATGTGAATGCATCTAAATTTTTCAGATTGGGCTCTTTCAGGCCAGTTATGCCAGAGCATGCATGCCCTCCAATATATGTATATAAAGAAAGCTAGAGGAATGCAAAAGAACTGATTGTTTGAGTGGATCAATCCAGTCCCAAGTTGAAGACATTTTTACTTCCCTCTGGTTTTGTAGGATGTGTGTGCTTAGTTGCTCAGTCGTGTTCAACCCTTTGCAATATCATAGACTCTAGTCTGCGAGGCTCCTCTGTTCATGGGATTCTCCAGGTAAGAATACTGGAGTTGATAGCCATTCCATTCTCCAGGGGATCTTCCAGACCCAAGGATGAAACCTGTGTCTCCTGCAGTGCAGTCAGATTATTTACCATCTGAATCACCAGTGAAGTCCATCAAGTACATATACCAGCATGATAGTAAAGTTATCTTTGTTTTAAAATACCTATATATAGAAAACTATAAAACACTGATGAAAGAAATCAAAGATGACACAAATGGATGGAAAAATATACTATGTGCATGGATCAGAAGAATCAATACAGTGAAAATGAGTATACTACTCAAAGCAATCTATAGAGTCAAGGCAATCCCTATTAAGCTACCAACGGTATTTTTCACAGAACTAGAACAAATAATTTTACAATTTGTGTGGAAATACAAAAAACCTTGAACAACCAAAGCAATTGAGAAAGAAGAATGGAACTGGAAGAATCAAGCTGCCTGACTTCAGATTATACTACAAAACTACAGTCATCTAGATAGTATAGTACTGGCACAAAGACAGGAATATAGATCAATGGAACAAAATAGAAAGCCTGGAGATAGATAAATCCATGCACGTATAGACACCTTATCTTTGACAAAGGAGGCAAGAATATACAGTGGAGAAAAGACAATCTCTAACAAGTGGTGCTAAGAAAACTTGTCAACCTCTTGTAAAAGAATGAAACTAGAACACTTTCTAACTTCATACACAAAAATAAACTCAAAATGGATTAAAGATCTAAATGTAAGACGAGAAACTAAAAACCCCTAGAGGAAAACGTAGGCAAACACTCTCTGACATAAATCACAGCAGGATGCTCTAAACAAATGGGACCTAATTAAACTGAAAAGTTTTTGCACAAGGAAGGAAACTATAAGCAAGNGCAAGGTGAAAAGACAGCCCTCAGATTGGGAGAAAATAATAGCAAATGAAGCAACAGACAAAGGATTAATCTCAAAAATATACAAGCAACTCCTGCAGCTCAATTCCAGAAAAATAAACGACCCAATCAAAAAATGGGCCAAAGAACTAAACAGACATTTCTCCAAAGAAGACATACAGATGGCTAACAAACACACGAAAAGATGCTCGCCATCACTCATTATCAGAGAAATACTAATCAAAACCACAGTGAGGTACCATCTCATGCCAGTTAGAATCAGTTCAATTCAGTTCAGTCTCTCAGTCGTGTCTGACTCTCTGTGACCCCATGGACTGCAGCACACCAGGCTTCCCTGTCCATCACCAACCCCCGGAGCTTACTCAAGCTCTTATCCATTTAGTTGGTGATGCCATTCAGCCATTTCATCCTCTGTCATCCCCTTCTCCTCCCACCTTCAAAAAGTCTACAAACAATAAATGCTGGAGAGGGTGTGGAGAAAAGGGAACCCTCTTACACTGTTGGTGGGCATGCAAACTAGTACAGCCACTATGGAGAACTGTGTGGAGGCTCCTTAAAAAACTGGAAATAGAACTGCCATATGACCCAGCAATCCAACTGCTGGGCATACACACTGAGGAAACCAGAGTTGAAAGAGACATGTGTACCCCAATGTTCATCACAGCACTGTTTACAATAGCTAGGACATGGAAGCAACCTAGATGTCCACTGGCAGGTGAATGGATAAGAAAGCTGTGGTATATATACACAATGGAATGTTACTCAGCCATTAAAAAGAATTCATTTAAATCAGTTCTAATGAGGTGGATGAAACTGGGACCTATTATACAGAGTGAAGCAAGTCAGAAAGAAAAACACCAATGCACGTATATAAGGAATAAACACATATATATGGAATTTAGAAAGATGGTAATGATGACCCAATATGCGAGACAGTAAAAGAGACACATATATAAAGAATAGATTTTTGGACTCTGTGGGAGAAGGTGAGTGTGGGATGATTTGAGAGAACAGCATTGAAACATGTATATTATCATATGTGAAATGTTCAATGCATGAGGCAGGACACTCAGGGCTGGTGCACTGGGATGACCCTGAGGGATGGATTGAGGAGGGAGGTGGGTTCAGGATGGGGGACACATGTACACCCGTGGCTGATTCATGTCAATGTATGGCAAAACCCACTACAATATTGTAAAGTAATTAGCCTCCAATTAAAATAAATAAATTAATTTTTTTAAGTTATCTTTGTTTTGCTGTTATGGGTAATTTTTAGTTGATTTTTATTTATTATTTTTCTTTGAGTTTTTTTGTGTGTATGTGTGTGTTGTGCACTTAATATTTTCATAACATGAAAAAATAAAACCTAAGAAATAAAACATGGCACTTCCTTCTACTATGCTCCCATGGTGCTTGGGTGCCTTATTGTAAACAATCCTCAAGAACTATCAGTATAACATCTTTGGATGCAATATTCCCATAGAGAAAAGCAAAATCTGATTCCATATTGGATCTGCTCCTTTCACTTTAACCTTTGTATTATATTGCTCTGGCTACAAATTAATCACCAAAGGGGTGTTACATATAAGCTTAAATTATATAAAGTGGCCCATCTCTGGGAGCCCTGCCTTCCATGTAACGAGCATTAAGTTAAAATACCTTTGTTCATCTCACAGGAAAATTCCTGACAAGGCCCACCTGCAAATCACTGCAGGAAGGAAGAAATTAACACACTGTAGAACAAAGACTTTACCCACTTCCCTTTTAGTATAAAAGAAACCTGACTGTAACTCAGGCAAGATGCTTCTTTGGGACACCAGTGCCCCATCTCTCATTCTGCTGACTTTGTGAATAAAGTCTCTATTCCTTGCGCCAGCAACTCATCTCTTAAATTTATTGGCCTATTGTATAGTGGGGATGAGTGGGTAAAGAATCTGCCTCCAGCAGGAGATGCTGATTCAATCCATTAGTGGGGAAGATCTCCTGGAGGAAAGCATAGCAATCCATTCCAGTGTTCTTGCCTGGAGGATCCCATGGACAGAGGAACTTGGTGGACTCCAGTCCATAGGGTCACAGAGTCATACATGAATAAAGCAGCTGAGCACAAGCATAGTGAATAGTACTAGCTTGGACTCAGATTAACAGTTTGTGAAGTGTTTTTTTTTTTTTTTTTTTGAGTTGTAAAAAGCAGTTATAGTATCAATATTGACAAATAAAGATATGGGAGGAATTAACTGACTGATATCAATTTAATAAATTGCTAAAGCCAGC